ATGTTTCAGCCGATAAAGACTGTTGAAACCGTTGTTGCTTACCCAATGAATGTGAAACTGCATATATTCCACAACTCTTGATTGGAAATGAGAAATCTGTCAGTACATTATAAATTAACAGCTATATATTTTATTATATTCATGCGCGGCGGCATAGGTAACACTGGTGTTGTCAAAAAAGTCTCTGCCTTAAAATAAAATTTTACATTTCCATTTGTGATCTACTAAATACGCCGTTAAGTCATTTCGTTCCTCTGAGCTACATCAAGAAGATTAATAATGGCACTTCTATTTTGAGCGAAATTTTAGTGACTTTGTCTCAAGAATATTTTTACCTCCGACAGCTGCAGTGTCTAGGATACATACATGTAGCTAATCTAAATTTTGACTTCTTCGTTGGCACTTTGGCTTTGTCGGGCCTATTTAGTTAAAAATTAAATTATCTTAGCGCTGTGAGTATTACATGTATTTACGCCGACTAGATATCGACCCCTTTCGCAAAAACAGGTAACTTTTGCAAGGGTGACGAATTGATCATAAAAATTGCCTTATTATAAATGGCGTTGTTGCAAAGAAATTGAATAACTAAAACTACCTAAATTCCTTAATCATTTCAAATGTTAATTACATTCACACATTGCTCTTGCCGAACAGAAAAATTATCTCATACATCGCATGTAAGACCTAGTGGGTTTGATACTCTCACGTGCAGCCATGCAGAACGAATGATGTCAGTAATTTATTTTCATGAGCGACTGATACGATTTATATTTATTTCATGTCAACGTATATGGGTAATAATTTGAACATTTTATGTGCCAAAAGTACCTTCTTACTTGTGTGTTTCCTTAATGTTGTCCACCAAATGTATCCAGAGGAGACTTTCGCATGCATCTGAAAACATGGCGGACATGAAATTTGTTGTTCTTGTAAAATTGATAATATTTTAGTGAATATTATCGGAGTTTTTCTATTTTTGATAGTATTTCTTGTGTATAGTACGTTATCGTGATTTCCAATGCCAGAATATTTAACAGCAGATCAATTAAAACAAATACTGGATGAGAAACTGGACCAGAAGTTAATACCGTTGAATTTGAAAGTTTCTGAACTCAGTTCCATACTCGATGATGCAATGAACTTCATGGACTTCATTAATCTGGCTAACTATAAGTATGAAGAAGTAATTACGAAACTTAAATCTCGTGAAATAGAGAGAATTGAGATCCAGGAAGAAAACAAGATTTTAAAGAGGGCCTTACAACAAATTGAAAGCCAACTACTTCAATTAAAAAACTCATATTTTGACCTTGAGAAATATACTCTCGCAAGAGAGTGTGTGGAAATTCAAGATATACCAGCCCCCTGATCGTCCAACTAAGGAATCAACTAACGATATTGTAATGAAAATTGCAAGCAAACTTATGGATATTGATATAACCAAGTCCCACGATGGATATGTCTGTGATCCATCGTTTACCTAGCTGTGAATAAAGGATAAAAGGGGAAGAGACTAGAACCTGCAATTATCGTAAAATGTGTTCGTCGAGATACTAAAGTGACATTTAATCGAGCTAGAAGCAAGCTAAAGAACAAAACAACTCGTGATCTTGGATATCAAGCTGCAAATGGCATATATATCAATGAAAGCATGTTATACTTATCGTATTTTAATATCAAACATTAACAAGCAAAACATTAAACCTAAAATATAAACTAAAGTTCGTGTAAAATTCTCTTTTCGTATAAAGTTCTTCGTAAACATGTGTTCTCTCGGTTGGGCCTGGGCCCTACTTAAGGTAGCTCGCATACTATTATAAACTAGACTTCTTTACAGTCGCCCGGTTGATCACCGTCGGTGAGCAAATATGCATAACAAATATGAACTTCAACTAAATATACAAATAAGTACTTATCTCCATCGATACTTCCTTTGAATTAGTTCTTCGTTAACAGCTGCTATACGTCTTTGTCGAGTCAGTGTTATATTTGTCTCTGAACTTCGCTTGTATCTTGAACTTCGCCCGTATCTTGAACTTCGCCTGTGTCTTGAACTTCGCTCGAATTTTGTACTTTGCTTGTGTCTTGAATTCGCTCGCATGCTGTACTTCGCTCGTATCTTGAATTTCGATCGTAACTTGAACTTCGCTTGTATCTTGAACTTCGCTTGAATCTTGTAATTCGCTTGTGTCTTGAATTTCGCTCGAATCTTGTAGTTCGCTTGTGCCTTGAATTCAGCTCGTATCTTGAACTTCTAGAGGAATCAGGCCTTCGTAATACCACGGTCTTCTTTTTGTCATTGCCCATAACTCGGATTTCGGCGGAGCGAATAACTTCATCCTTACTTCGAAGAAGATTTTCTACCCTTGCTAACTTCCAATAGATACGAGATGTATTTTCGTTCTTAAGAATGACAATATCACCTGCCTTTACAACGTTAGAACTGTTGTTCTGTACTCTTGATGATTCTCGGATGCTTAACAAATATTCTTTTCTCCATTGATCTGTAATGTTCTCCATTGATCTGTAATGTTCTTAAGAACTCTAGCTTGGTACTTGGCACGTTACGTCAGTGATTTGTTCGTACTTACAATCTCGTAATGACTTTCGTTTGGAGTCGTTGCAATTCGATATCCATAAATCAAACTCGCTGGTATAAGAGGATAAGATACACCTTGCTCGCCGTCGTATACATAGGTCAATGTACGATTGCTTAAAGTTGCTTCGATTTCTACAAGAATAGTTTCCAGTTCTTCGAATGTCAACAAGGTTCGTCCAATCTGTTTTTTCAAACAGCGTTTGGTGCTTTTGATTAACCGTTCCCAAAAGCCGCCATGTCATGGAGCCTTTTCAGTTATGGATTCCCACGAAACACCTTTGTCCGCGAGATAACGCTTTACACTTCCTTTGCAGTGGCTTTGAAAGTTTTCGCATTGTCAGTTAGTGTTTTTCTTGGCATCCCTCTTCTGCTGACGAAACGCCAAAAGGCTGCCGAAAACATGTTCGTGGAGAAATCTTTCAATAGTTCTAAATGTACGGCCCTTGTAGACGCACACGTAAACAAACAAACGTAGGATTTTACAGTTTCACCGTTTTCATTTACGAACAATGGCCCAGCATAATCAATGCCAATGTTTGTAAAAGGCGGTTCATCGCTTACTCGACAGCTGGGTAATGATGACTCTCGTGGACTCTGAAACGCCTTTCGTTCAATCTTCTTACATATAACACACCTTTTCAAAACACGTTTAACTGCTTCTCCTCCTCTTAATACCCAATACGTCTCTGTTACACCATTAAGAGTTGACTTAATACCGTTATGATGAATTCGTTTATGATCCTCTTCGATTGTTAGTTCCGTAAAGCGGTGCTTAGCCGGCAAAAGGATTGGTTCTTTGGTTTCTGTCGATATCAGTAGTTATATCTCGGGCTTAATGGACCCCATTCTATGCGCATAATTAGCCTAGTTACCCTTAATAATTCATGAGTTATGCAAATTAATTTGCATAATCGATGACGTATTTTTCCGAAGGTTCTCCGATGATGATAAAACAACGAGGGCTTTCCGATTATTAATTTGCATAATCGATGACGTATTTTCCGGAGGTTCTCCGATGATGATAAAACAACGAGGGCTTTCCGATTATTAATTTGCATAATCGATGACGTATTTTCCGGAGGTTCTCCGATGATAAAACAACGAGAGCTTTCCGATTAGTCGCCATTTTGTTTCAAGATGGCGGAAGGGTTAATAATGGCGGTTTTAAGGGAAAATAACATTGAATTGAGTGTGAATACTTTTCGTTTCCATTTAAAATTGCTTTTGGAAAAGCATGGGGGTTTATTTGAAAGCATGATAGCTCGTATTGGACGAGAAAACGTACTTGAAAATTTGTGTGTAATCTATCAGGAGTTAGAACCTTCAAATTTTGGTCGAATTATGGCTTACTTGACTTTAGTTTACAAAGTTAGTGATTTTTGTGAGCCTGAAATTGTGCAAGAAGCCGTAGAAATCTGTGTATGGGAATTAAAACAAGTGGATTGCGCTAGCTTTGAAATAAAACAATCTTGGATACAACGCTTAGTTGCATGGTTACGCGACTAGTAACCTGGCGAAATTTGAATATCACTAATCCGGGTTGAATAGCAAAAGTCATTAACTGTTGTACATGGCTGAACACACTGTAATTTGACGACATTGCCCTGAACATGTTTGTGCAAAACGGCTTTGACAACTGATCTTTGTTACCAAATAAACCAGAACCTAAAACGAGTAAAAATAAAAAAATAAAATGGCCGAACAAATCGATCAGCTCGCTAGAATGACACCGCAAGAACGTAAAATCCTCGAAGGTATCACCAAGAAAAATTGTCTTGAAGGTTGTCAACATTGCGAGCACACGGAGGCACACGATCCCCGATTACATTTTCGCATACGTTACTGCGGAAAATGTCGTGTCGACATGTGGCGTCAAACGCAAGAAGCACGAAAAATTGAATTCGAAGAAAAATTCAAGCGTATCGAAAACGAGGGCACACAAGAATTTATGTCAACCGGTCGCGTTAACCTGTGTAAGCCACCCACCTTTCAATATATTCATCTCAACACCTCGAAAACATTCAACAGCGAGCACAGCATGCTCGAAGACGCCGTAGCCGAATATCTCGCAGACAAGACATAAAAACAATAAACCAAGGGGGGGGGGGGGTACAAGAGTTTCTCTCGAACTAGACAATAATCCGGACGCATTTTACAATTTAATAACTTGTGTTGAAACATTAGCAAAAAAGGCTAACAAAATGTATTATTATTATTATTATTATTAAAATTTATTACAATTTGTAAGAGTTGAATTTAGCACGCAGTCTTTTTAGAAATGTTAGTTACATAAAAGATTTGATTTTAAGGATGGAATCGCCGCATTGTGCAGGTTTTCGACGTTGTTCCATTCCGCTCGCAAAGCACACATAGCGATGTAGAATCCCACGGTTGTCGACACATTGTACATGCGATAGTTTGCTTTTTGCGACGCTGTTCGCGTTTCCATCTTCTAAAACACCTTAGATGCACGTAGTGGTCGCAGCAAGGGGTCGCAATTGCCCTAGTTTGTCCAAATCTGATTTCCTCTAGACATATATGACAGTCCTCTGTCTCTTTTGGCTCACGTCCGATAGCGCTATGTAATTTTGTGGGTACGCCACGATGATCCAGCAATGGTCTAATGAACCTTAGAGGGAAATTGCCAGGTCGATATCTGTGGGGTTGTTGGATTCGGCTCATAGTTGTGTGTTGAATCTGTTTTTAAAACGAAGTTTAAAAAGAGGAATAGTAAAATTAGTGCGGTCATTAAACTTTAAATACTTAGAGCACCGTCAGTGTGTGTTCATTTGCGATTGACTGCCATGGACCCAAAATTAAAAGCTTGTTTCTGCTTGCAGATTTCTGGTCCTTCAGGATCAGGAAAAACTGTTTGGGTAAAAAAGTTTCTTGAGAACTTACCGCAAATGGTTAATAGGAATGTTGATCAAATCGTATATTGTTATGGAGAATATCAGCCTATTTTTGACGAGATTCGGCAAAACATGCCAGAGATACAATTTTATGAGGGTTTCCCTGATGTCAAAGGCATAACAGATCCGTCCTTTCATACGCTAATGATTATTGATGACCTTCAAAATGAATTATTGGATAACTTAGAACTTGCAAATTTGTTTACCAAAGGTTCACATCACCGTTCCATTTCAGTAATATTTTTACAGCAAGCTTTATTTAATAAGGGGAAATTTTCTCGCTTATGTTCGCTGAATTGTCACTATATGGTTATTTTCAAAAGCCCTAGGGACCAGACAGTTATTTCGACTCTTGCTCGCCAAATGTATCCAGGCTGTGGAAAATATCTAATTGAGGCTTATAAAGACGCGACCGAGGAAGCATATTCCTACTTATTAATAGATTTGCACCCTCAAACTGAAGATAAATATAGATTACGTGCAAAAATATTTCCAGATGAGCGGCAGGTTTTTTACGTTAAAAAGTGAAGATTTTGTGTGCCCCAGTTATTTTGCAATGTCTGTTCACATGAGAAGGAACGTTCACGTACTTAAGGTTTTACATCAGGCAAAACCGAAGCTGCGTAAAGCAATGTTAAAACATTTAGAGCCGAGTTGCGTTAAGGCGATCTGTGATTGTGTATTGAATATATTGAAAAATGTAGTTAAGATGTCACCAGTTCAAAAGAGGAAGCTAGCTAAGCACAAAGATCATTTAAGGGTGCTTGTCAGGAAAGGTACATCATTGAAAAAGCGCCGGCAAACGATTGTTCAGAAAGGGGAAGGCTTTCTTACTTTAGTGTTGGGACCTGTTTTAAAAGAACTAGCGTCCCTCATAGAATAGAGACATGAAACATTCACAAAAAATGATATTGGTACCGGAAAATAATTTGGATAATTACTTACGTCAACAACGCTTAACGACCCCGCCGACTGTGACAAAAATGGCACAATTAGATGGTGAAATGAAAACTGTTTTAGACAGGGATGACACTTCCCAGGATGAAAAAGCAAAGCTCTACAGTCAAATATTAGAGAACTATCTTCATTTCAAAGGGAAGCGAAATGTGGAAAACACCGAACCAATCCCTGTGCAATTGTCGGAAGAAACAAAAAAGGGAACAAAAGTCATTAGAACCACAACGCCGGACAATGTTGAAAGACAAAGTGTGGGGGATATTATTGAAGTATTACCGAAAAAGTTGCAACAAAAGGCTAAAATCCTTTTAAGACGTATTCAAGATAATTCGAAAATTTTAGATTGGAATGATCGGGGCGAACTAAAATACGGTGGAGAAACTTTGCCCAACACAAATATCACTAATCTTTTAGGCGACTCGCTTAAATACAAAAAAAATAATAAGCCGAAGGGATACGAAATTTTTACAAAAGCCTTGAGTGAAATGAATCTCCCAGAGGAACTAATACGAAACCCGGAAAGACTTCAACTTTTTAAAACTTACGTGTACGAAAAAACCCCAGATAGAGGAAAAATTCGTAAATCACTACAAGATGACATACCGGGCCCTTCACCGACTAAGAAAAGAGCTAAAAAATTACAGTGGCAAACAAATTTTTAAAACACTAGTGATACGTAATTAGAAATTGTGTGAATAGTGTGTAGTTAAAAATATCATTCGTATATGTGTGAATAAATTTTTTTTTAAACTAATAAAAAGTGTTTGTGTGGTGTTGTAGGTACATTAGTCAATCGAGTTAGACGCGTCTATTCTTTTATTAAATTTGTTTGGCCCTTAAAAGGGCCGTTTTGTGGTTTTCTTTACTTTCCGTGGTGCATTTCACAGTGATGCGTCAATTTTCTTTCCGGGGACCACCACTTCAGTTGACAGCTTTTTGACCGTAGGCAGGCCCGACATATCGCGTCGCCCCTCCAAATTGATCTACACATCGGACATGAAGGTGTCGATCTGTTTTCCGATTCCCACTTTTCCCAGCACGACCGATGTATTACATGACCACAGCAGGGCATATCAAAGGAAAAACGCTCGTTTTTGACTATCTCGTCAAGACAAATGAAACAATCGGTCTTTTGGAGACCCGGCCGGCGGGAAAGCTGGGCTCTCGCTAGGTAACCGTTAAAGCCACGTCCTATTCCAGGTACGATGAACGATCTGTTTTGCTGTTGCATTTTTCTTGCCAGAGAGATTTATGATATTTTCACTAATAAATGCTGGGTCTATTTATACCCAAAAACAAACTGGGGGAGTTGTGGTTTCCCTTTTTTTTTGAAGTTTTAATTATTTATTATTTTTAACTTTCGGATCTATTCTTCATAATCTGACTATTCTTTCACACATGTCGTTAAACCTTCCGCTTGTTGCTTAATGAGCGTGAGCGGTTACATAAAAGACCTATTCTTCATAATCCAACTATTCTTTCACACAAGTCGTTAAACCTTCCCCTTGTTGATTAATGAGCGTGCGTGGTTACGTAGAAGAAAGTTAATGACTGAACGGTGAATGAACGCGATTGTATAACTGAGTGGGAGAGCGAGGATATTCATTGTAGCTGAGGCAAGCGCTTACAGCAGTAGCTTGATGCAGATTGTAATTTTCTTTCGGAGTCTGTTCTTGGCATTCGATGGAAAACGACGTTTGGTCTAGCGTTTTGGATACATTGACCGAGTCCCAACTTAATCGTTTAGAAAATGAAGCCTTCTTACAGTGTGCTATTCGTGGTAAGTTGATCTATTCGGTGAAACGAGCGTTGATTTATTTATTTTTTTTTTTTTTTTTTCCTTTACTCGTTTAATGCCGCAAAATTCACTTATTGTAACACTTTTTCTTTATTCCAAAGATGATCCTTTTGAGGATTTGACTCAAAGCGAATGGGAAAGGCTAGATAACGCCACGACTGAAGCATATAACACCACCCTCGGGAATGAAGGAATTCAACAAACTGGTAAGTGTTTTGCAGCTGATGTTACGTGAGTTGTTTTAGGGGTTTTTTTTGGGTTTTTTTTAGGATCTGTTGCTGTAATATAGTGTTGTGATCGATATGTGAACCGGTTCCTTTTTTTCTCGTTTACGCAGGATACCGTTGTGACCTTTGCGATAAAGTTTACCGACACAGACCAAATCTTGCAAGGCATAAGCGCCAAGGACACGGATCGCCATCCGAATCAGGATGCGGCGAGAAAAGAGGAAACGGTAAGTTATACTATCCATTTCGCTGAGTAGCGAGATAAAACGAAAAAAGGTGACGGCAATTAATTTTTTTTTTTTATTCTCTCTTTTTGTAGACGAACCATCTGCCTCAAATAAGCGCTTACGACCAATAGACCAAACAGGGGCTGGTTCATCAAGAGAGTCAACCCCTCCGCAATCAGAACGGCAAAAGGAATTACAAGTTGAAGAACCCGCCGAAGAGCAAGACCGCGAGCCAGACGTACAAGAAATCCAACAGCTGGCAGAAGAGCAAGACAGCGAACCAGACGTACAAGAAATCCGGGATCAACAGCTGGCAGAATTGCTCCACCAACATCGACAAGTCATAGAAGCTGAGGATCTTTTCCACAGAAGGCAAGATATATACAATATTAGACTGCATGATGGTTTTACTGTTGATAATTTGCTTGCAGAGTTAAGAAACATTTACAATAGACAACGTAGTGCGTTTAAGGTTAACTTAAACTTTAGTTTTGTTTTGCGAAATGTGGAGACGGGGGAGTTAAGATTTTTTTACGCCTCCAATAATACTAACCTTTTGAGTATACCAATGTTAGTGCACAACGAACGCACATTTAGGGATGTTATAGAAGTAATACGAACTCTAGATGTGCTAGAATGGGTTAGAAACCAGCGTCCCAATAGCAAATGGGGTTTTATTGTTTAATACAAGCGAGGGTCACGTTGACTAGACTTAACGTTCCCATTGGGGCATCAGTTGAGTTGCCTTGTTATATTGCGAGAAACCAGGCTATAGTAAGTTTAACTAATAGCAGACATACGGGCGAACCTTATCGCGATAATCTCTGTTTGTTTCGATGCCTTGCTTTACAGGCGGGGGAGGGCGAAAGCAGCTTAGAGCGTGCGGCAAAGGCCTATTTCGAGCGTTATATTGTAGAAACCAGCCAGGCTCGTGAGGATTTTTGTGGGGTTGATCTGACTGAACTGATTCTGGTCGAGGAACTGTTTTCTGTGTCCATTTACGTTTACTCGCTTGACGAACATAATCAAGCAGTTTGTATTCGGCGTTCTGTAAAACAATTTCCTAGCATGTATATCAATTTATACGAAAATCATTTTAGTTTTATCAAAGATTTTCAGTCCTACAGCGATTGTTTTGTATGCAAAAAATGTGATAAAATTTTTTCAAAGCCTTACGCATTGTCTCGCCACGAACAAACGTGTACAACCAACGTCAGGCACAAATTCCCCGGTAGGGTTTTCCAAATTCCTAAAACTGTATTTCAAGAACTCGAAGATATGGGGTTGCAATTTGACCCTGCCGATAAATTTTTTCCCTATTTTGCCACATGGGATATCGAAAGCTTTCAACATGATGTGCGGTCTACATCGGGCACAGCCCCACTTCAATGGACAGCTGAACATGTACCAGCGTCTATATCTGTCGCCAGTAACGTGCCTGGTCACGAAAATGCATTTTGTTTTGTGACCGATGGGGATTCAGAGCAGCTTGTGAGCGACTTTGTTGAGTACCTTTTCGAAATAAGTGACATGAGCTATCGACTGTTGAGTGAAAAATTTGAAAGTGTCTTTTCCGATTTGGATGTAATGATTTCTAACTTGCCACAAGAGGACGAAACAGGGAAAGCACAACTCGTAAAATTAAAGAGAAAATTAGATCGTTTTTTGCGAGAAATGCCCGTACTAGGTTTTAATTGTTCTCGTTACGACATCAATGTAATCAGAAAATTTCTGTTTAAAAAAATTGAATCGGCGGAATTAGACGAGGAAAACGAGACTACTGGTTTTGAATTTGTCATTAAAAGGAATAGTGCGTATATGTGTCTGAAAACACCCCGGCTTAAATTTCTTGATATTATAAACTATTTGGCGCCTGGCTTCAGTTACGATCAATTCTTAAAAGCATACGACTGCACCGCTCAAAAAGGATGTTTTCCTTACGAATGGTTTGACAGTGTCGATAAACTTGATTCTGATTCATTGCCCTCGCACGAAGCATTTTATAGTTCGCTTCGTAATTCTAACATTACTGACGCTGAATATGAACGCTGTCTTTCTGTCTGGCAAAACCAAAACATGCAGACGTTCCGCGACTATTTAATTTGGTATAATAATTTAGATGTGGAGCCCTTTGTTGAAGCTGTGGAGAAAATGTTTGAATTTTATCAGCCAAAGGGCTTAGATCTATTTAAGGATGGTATATCCGTCCCCGGCCTAGTGATGAAGTCTCTTTTCTCTGGACTTGCTGCCAACACATATTTTACTCTTTTTCAAGAACGTGATAAAGATCTATATTATACTTTCAAAAATAACATTGTAGGAGGGCCATCCATTATTTTTAATCGCTATCAAGAAAAAGATAAAACCTTCATTCGGGGAGGTAAACCTTGTAAGCGAGTCTGGGGGGCTGACGCAAATGCGTTATATCTTTGGGCATTGGCACAGGACATGCCATGCGGTTACTACGTTAGACGAAAGGCCGAAAGCAATTTTAAAAAAGAAGAATATTTCAACAAAGCTAGCGTTGAGTGGTTAGATTACGTCGCTGACCGCGACGGATTAGATATCCAGCATGCACATAACGTTGGGGAAAAAAAAATTGGTAGATATTTAGTTGACGGTTTTGACACCACTAACAAAACGGTGTATGAATTCAATGGCTGCTATTTTCACGGGCATGCTTGTGAAATGAATAACAATGACTTTAATGAAAGAGTAGGAGTTCCAATGAGCATCCTATTTGAACGTACAATTGAGCGTAAACGTTATTTGGAAGATCGCGGCTTTACTGTAGTCGATATTTGGGAATGTGAGTACAAGCAAATGCGTAAGACAGACGAGGGCTTAAAGCTTTTTCGACAAAATTATATTCAGAGTTTGGATGTACGAACGACTATGTCGGAAAACGAAGTTTTGTCTAAAATAACAGAGGGTGAGATATTTGGGGTTGTTGAATGCGACATTCACGTACCCGAGGATAAAAAAGATAAATTTTCTGAAATGTGTCCAATTTTCAAGAATGTTGATATTCCTTTTGAAGCTATAGGTGAGCACATGCAAAATTTCGTTGAACAAAACCGACTAAGTAAAAAACCTAGACGAGGGCTTATAGGAAGCATGTTTGGCAATAAAATTTTATTAACAACACCCCTTTTACGCTGGTATATCAAACACGGCTTAAAAGTCACCAAAGTGTATGAAGTTATCGAGTACACTCCTAAAAATTGTTTCACCGGATTTGCTGATGAAGTTAGTAATGCACGTCGGGAGGGAGACTGTGACCCTTCAACAGCGGTTATAGCCGAGACGATGAAATTACATGGAAATTCTGGATACGGCAGAACGCTAACTAACAAGGAAAATCATTTAGACGTGCGGTACTGCAATGAGGCAAACAGTGGCCTGGCTGTGAATGATTCTCACTTTAGGAAATTAGATATAATCGACGAAAATTTTTACGAAGTCAGCAAAACTAAGAAATCGATTAGCATGAATTTGCCTGTTCAAATAGGCTTTTTCGTTTACCAGTACGCAAAACTTCGCATGCTTGAGTTTTATTACGATTTCATGGATAAATTTATAGACCGTTCCGATTTCGAGTACTGTGAAATGGACACCGGACTCGGCCTACGTTGCACTCTCCGGTGAGAGTGTTGATGACCTCATCAAACCTGAACTCCGAGCTGAGTACGAACAGGTAAAATTTGCTTGGTTTCCGCGGGATTATAACGACGAGGTTAGCGCTTTTGACCGACGCACCCCGGGGTTATTTAAGACCGAATTCCAGGGCGACGGAATTATTGGGCTCTGCAGTAAGATGTATTTTTGCTTCAACGAATCAAAAGCTAAGTTCAGCTGTAAGGGGGTGAATAAGTACACAAATGCGATCGACAAAGACACCTATTTGCGTGTTCTTCGCACCAAAGCAACAGGTGCCGCAACAAACAGAGGTTTTCGCGTTAGGGGTAGCAGTGTTTTCACTTACACTCAGGTGAAAAATGCCTTTGCTTACTTTTACGGTAAGCGGAAAGTGCTAGACGATGGCGTCAGCACCTCATATTTAGACATATGATTATGTTTCTGTGATTCTGATGGTGTTCCGCTTACAATCTAATTACACTATGCATGTCTAACGTAGATTCTCGCTGAGTTTTCGGTTTTAAAACAAAAGTGAAGGTATAGAAATCTTTAACATTATACAAGTGTGATTGTAGCGGGAACATGTCTGGCACACAAACATAGTCATTAGGACGCTGGTTAGGAAATTAGTATAAAATATAAACAGTGTGAAACCAACAATTTAATGTATTCAATTATTTTATTTGTTTTTTTTACTGCAAATAAATAGCAACAATTACATGGTTGTCTAGTACATTCTTATAGATTTTTGACTACCTCGATTAGGTATATACACATGAAACATTTTCCTGACAAAACTTGCGACTAGTTCATCGTTTTGTTCAAGGTTCCTTGTAAATTTGTACATTATCGCACCCATGCTCATGTTTCTACAACGATAGAATATATAATAAACACAAAAATGTCCGCAGGCGTTTGAAAAAGCTGCTTGAACTGTCCGATGATTGCACGTCCATTTCGAAGAGTTTCTTTCTAAGAATGACACAAATGAAAATGTGTACGTTTCAGGTCTCTGTCCAAGCGAGTCAAAAAATTCTCCATGTGAAGGACTGGCAAACCAAAACCCTATCCAATGTGAGCCAGGCATGGTACTTTTATCGACATTCGCCACATAAGCTCTGGGATATCTATCGACTGTCTCGGGCAGTTTATCGGATGCGTATACCCCACCAAACACATGCTTAGAGCATTTATCAGACCGTAGAATCTTCTCAATCGTGGTAGAATTCATGTGCTAAAATCAAATATGACGTTTCGACTTTTGTCTATTTCGATCAGGCTTTCAAACTCGGCGTAAACCAAACAGGTCACTGTATGCGGTAGGGCTTGAGCAAACTGAATGCTTAGTCGAACGTTCCCGGTCTGAACAGGATTAAAATGCTCCGAACTGGTTAAATCTGGGGTAAGATCTATAGCATACAATGCATATCCTTTGGCGTAATCTTCACGACTGATAAGATTCCCAGAGTCGGCAAACATTTTATCCATACCAGAAAAGAGAGTTTCATAACCACGTATGTATAGGCCAGTCCCTGCATCATCAAACTGAACCTGAATAGGTTTGTACGTTTCCCCATTCGCAGACAGGGCGACACGGGTGACTTTATAATGATGAAAGTTGAAGGCGTTCTTGGCATAACTTCCATGATACGCTTCGCTATGAACCAAGGCCATAACAACGCGTTTCGGTAAAACTCCAAGGAACACATTCTCTCGATCTAGGGACAACAGGCCTTGGGGTATTGCTATAGATTTCACTTCCACTCTTGAAATGGGGTATTTTGCCGTTGTTTTATCCAGGAATTTTTCGTGATCTATACGCAGTGTGGGGCTTACAGTCACACGCCGCACGCGAAGCACTGCTTCCTGAATAATAACTTTGTATGCTGGATTTTCACCCCCTGCCAGTAAGCAAAAATTATTTGGGGATCTAACCAACTTCACTTTTATATCGACGCCTGGAATAATCAGACGTTCTTGAAAACAAATGTCTGCATGTAACGGGCCAGACATATCACAGCTTCTGCTCGTTGCTATAAAGCTGTGTCGCTTTTTCAAACCCATGTTTGCGTTAGCATCGGCTGCTAGCGGATTCACGACGTCCATTTTACCAGATGTATCCTTGTAGTATAGCCCAGCCGTCATTTGAGACTGTTTCGCAGCTGGACCAAAGTTTAGAAGGGTTTCAATCATGGCACGGGTAAGGATAGGTCGTTGCGCTTGGCGTGATTAATTTATCGTTGAGTGAAACATTCACTTGACTAAACATGGACTGTAAGAATAAATTTTGTGGACCAACTTGATCTTCAGCTTCGATGTTTTCTCCATCAGCAGCTTTTATTTTAGCTTTTATGTACAGTTGCATGCGGCTGGGATCTAAATAATCTTCTCCATTGCCAGGAACAAAAAATTCAATAGGGGCAGAATCCTCGCTTAGAGTTGACACGGGAAAATAATCTACAAATTTACTTTTCTCGACTGTAACTTGCGTAGGAGGAACGCTAAATAGATTCAGTTCACTTTTGTTGCACGCTTCGGAATCGTAGTGAATAGGCTTCAGCATGTCTCAGCTACCAAATATATCGTTATATTGTGTCTTTTTTTTCTTAGTCTTGGTCTTGGTCTTAGGTGTGCTTGCCTTGCGAGGTTTTTTAGACTGATTCGGAGTTTTAACATTAGCTTTCCTTTTAATCCCTCGACCATTTTGCATGTTCGATTGAGCATGACTAATTGCTTTTTCTGTCATATTCCCAACTGCTTCGTGTAAACGATTTCTGGCGGCCGTTTTCGCGTTTTTTCCACTAAGAACATCTTCTCCAATCGCAACACCTGTCTTTAGGGCCTGTCGCCCCACTTCTTTTCCCCCGCGAACCAAAAACGGAACTGCGCTGCGAAACAATTTTCTTAAAATCCCTCCTAAGCCATTACCAGATTGTGGCCGAAATCTGCCAAAGCCTCTCTGCATTCTAGCCCCCACAAATGCTGGCAGAGCACCTCCAGTCTGCCACTGTTTCATATTAAAAGTATATGGAATGATTTGGTCTAAGATGTAGTGTACAAATCGACCGCCCGTACTCAAATGGCACTGGCCTTCCTGAATCGTCGGTTATGTACACTTCCAGCGTTTCAAATCGCTTCGTACCGACTGGCATACATAATGGGTTCTGGTACGTTCTTGTAATTATATCACCGTATCTGCCCTTAATTTGAACGGTACGTAGCAAGGGAACTTTTTTATCACCAACAATTTGATCACTCACAAGATTGCAATACACAAACATGGACGGAAATCCTGCCTCAATATCTGCCGTATAGGGCGACGTTGTTTTCTTGGTAATATAACTGTCTTGGTCAAACCCTAACGCAGCAGAAATATCACCGGTGAACCAAATGCTTGCTTGTTTTTTAACATCGACGGTTACTTTGCGTGTATGCTTACTATACGTTAATTGAATTTTGTTTTGTAAATCTTTCGAAATATGACTGTTAAAATTCTTGACGAGATCCGGAACACTTTCGTAATGGCCACTGTCAATGATTCCAGTGCTTCGTTCACTGCCCACAGTATATACAAACGTTTGCTGAACACCCTGTCTTATAGTACTCCAGGTGTGTGCGTATTGCATCTCAACAAGAGCGACTTCCCAATCACCAGTTAACGAAACGGTTTCAGGAAGTTTCACTTTAAAATTTGCGACTGTATTGGAGGGAAATATTTCCATACAGCTATTGCTAGGTAAAGTTATGAAAAACGGTTTTGTTCTTTCCATCACGGAGGTTGCTATGTCACTAAACGCGAACGTTATCTGATGTTGGTTATATCTTTCTCATCGACCCAACTGTTAAATTTTGCCGGATAATTTTTCCAGCTCACTAGATATTGCTTATGACCATTCCTCCTGCGTGTGCGAAGAATACTATCTACTCTGTAAACGTCATCTTTCTTAACCACTTTTTGAAGTTCATATTCGTAAAATAAGCCATCAAGAATTTCACTATCAAAATCCTTGATTTTGTATACTGGCAGATCTCGTGCAATTTGTTCAGCTATGGTAAAATTTTCCTCTGTCCAACCTTGATTATACGCTTTCTCAAATGGTCTTCGTGTCTTACTTATTTTTACTAGATCACCTACATTGAACTTAAATTTCGGATTGGGTTTTTTCTCTCCATAAAGCGTTTGCCTGACTTGAAATTCATTTTTCCCGCTCACATTAGCTGGAATTTCCTTGATCGACCTGTGAAGAGTGTGATTGTACGAGTATACTATATCCTGCAGCGCGTCAATATAACGGACAGTGTTTTTTGCCGTGAAATAACGATATATTTTTTGTTTTAATGTCCTTATAAATCTTTCGGCTATGCTTGCTTTTGTCTCACTGTTGGTGGTAAAAAACTGAATACCGTATTGTTTCATGAGATTTCGGAATTGTGAATTCAAAAACTCTGTGCCCTGATCGGTATGGAGATAGTTCGGCACCCGGCCTTGTTCCAAAATGTCACGAAAAGCACGTGTAACGACTGGCCCTGTCTTATTTTTCACCGCTCTAACCCAGGCATATTTACTGAAACAGTCTATACAAACAAGTAAAAACCTATAGTTATCATTCTGAGCACTAAGCGATTGAAAATCTGCCAAATCAGCTTCAAATTGGTCATCTATACCGGCAACAAAAACTCTCGTTCGAGGATAATTTTTTCTGACAGGCTTGTGTAAGCTATATGCCTCTTGCGAGCGTAACCATTCACGCACGTCATTTCGACTAATATTTAGGTTGTTTTTCGTTGCTCTCGCCGCACGATAAAGTTTTTCTAACCCACCAAAACTAGCCTCGTGCTTCGGGTTGTAGTAAATTTTGTTCAGAAGCGTTTCCTTCTTCTTTTCCATCTAGTTCTGATTTATATATCACAACTCGCCCACTGCAACAAGTACAAAGACAACGAATGCGTTTGAAAATTTCACGCAGTCCTATACTAGGTGTCTGCGGCCATCCAAAACAATTTCCCATGTTGACATGACAAACTTGACAGGAGAAATGAGCACGGTGCCGTATTACAACGCGGTTTTAAGACATTCAGTCACTGGTCGAAATGTTGTGCTTTGTGATACTCGTTTTGTTGAATTTTTTTTCTGTTTTGACGTGTCCACGGTCTTGCACGTGCTCGGCGAGTATAAAAATGATTAATTGTGCGAACGGTGGTTTCACGCATCTTCCGCGTGGACTAAAAGGCGATGGACGGTATGCGACTTTGATAATGATACACAACCAAATTAATACACTAACGGAGAAGGACATGGACGCATTATACCGGTTCAAAGAAGTAGATATGAGGGACAATCCCTTAAACTGTACATTGCTACACGCTTTAGATTATAAAATGACTATTTTGAGTGACTGTATTTCCAAGTTTCTTAGTACGAAACCTACAGTTACAAAGTTCAATCACAGTACCGCAAAACACGATTCGGACCGTTTGAGGCGAACTGAACCTTCAACGAACAAAAAATGGAAAAAAGAAGGGAGAAAAATGCTATGGCTGATCGCGATTTTACCGTTGGTGATTGTCCTAGCAGTGTGCGTGTTCCTGATACGGCGCAGGTTTCTACTACAAAGGCAACGCGTCATCCGTCGCAATCCTATAGAACTTTACCCTCTTAGGTGTGAAGAAGACGACGAAGTAATTTTATTTGAACTGAAAGAAAAACGATTATGATTTTTTATTTATAGTATTTATACAACATTTCACTCACTAGGTTTAGGTTAAGTGTTCTGTTCGGGTTAATATAACAATATTTTAATAGCTTAATTATAGTCTCCTAATAGTCTATCAGTGACAGTTGCTCCATATCCCCCGTTGGTGAGAAAATAGGCAATTCCCCAATATATTCGGCGTAGGCATCGTGTGGATTTTCCCGTGCGCTGGTAAAGGTAAGTCCAGTTTCAGCTACCATGTATGTGTACAGCGCAGGATTACTCTGCAATATACCAACTCTTTCAACGTGAGGAAAATGAACTTGGTTGAACGGGTTTTCCAGATCGAGTTTCCATTCAAAAAATCCGCACGACTTTTCTCGCTCGTTTGGACAACAAAAGAAAAGGCGACCTTGATTTTCTCCTTCCTTTTTGACTTTCCGTACGCAAGCATTCAATCCGTGTCTGCATTTTGGTTTTGGCAACTCGTGTCTGTCAGCCCACTGCCAGAACTTACATGGATTCTCGCGGTCGCAACAAACAAAAAACGGCCTTCCAAAGTTCAGTTTACTAACGTCTTTGACGACTTTCATTCTTGCTAGCCTTTGGTGAGTATCACACACCGGATGAATTGGGCCATTCGCTCTCCACATTGCCATGGCCGTTTCGAACAACGAGCGGTCTTGATCAGGGCAGAAGAATTCACAACTCTTGGGATTATTTCTGTTGCAAAGCCAAAATTTTCCATTTTTTGTAGAAACCGCGGACGCTGGCAATCCATGCAAACACTCCATTGCTGTAGGTAAACGACAATGATACTGTCTGATGCGCGGTACTTATGTCCTATCGTTAAGGCCAGTTTTCCTGCTAAGTCAGCACAACTATGTTCAGGGCAATGTCGTCAAATTACAATGTGTTCAGCCATGTACAACAGTTAATGACTTTTGCTATTCAACCCGGATTAGTGATATTCAAATTTCGCCAGGTTACTAGTCGCGTAACCATGCAACTAAGCGTTGTATCCAAGATTGTTTTATTTCAAAGCTAGCGCAATCCACTTGTTTTAATTCCCATACACAGATTTCTACGGCTTCTTGCACAATTTCAGGCTCACAAAAATCACTGACTTTGTAAACTAAAGTCAAGTAAGCCATAATTCGACCAAAATTTGAAGGTTCTAACTCTTGATAGATTACACACAAATTTTCTAGCACGTTTTCTCTTCCAGTACGAGATATCATGCTCTCAAATAAACCCCCATGCTTTTCCAAAAGCAATTTTAAATGGAAACGAAAAGTATTCACACTCAATTCAATGTTATTTTTCCTTAAAACACCCATTATTAACCCTTCCGCCATCTTGAAACAAAATGGCGACTAGTCGGAAAGCTCTCGTTGTTTTATCAGCATTGGAGAATCTTCGGAAAATACGTCATCATTATGCAAATTAATTATCGGAAAGCCCTCGTTGTTTTATCATCATCGGAAAATCATCGGAAAAATACGTCATCGATTATGCTAATTAATTTGCATAACTCATGAATTATTAAGGGTAACCCCCTTAATTATGCGCATAAACGGGGTGTATTAAGCCCCTCACCTTACTACTCATAAAAACCTCGACTTCGTCTCGGTTTTTATTCACCGATAATCACCTCGCCTTCGGCGAATAATTGTTAATTAACAAGCGTAATTCGAGAATTAGTGAATCTTTGAGAATCAGTGAATCCTCCACTCTAGGCGATTATAGCCCCAAAAGTTTACACAAATAACAAAGTCAACA